AGATATGAGTAAAAGGATTATCATTGTGAATATACCTTAAAAAGAACCTCATGCCTTTTATACGGTAAATTTATTTTCTATTTTGTAGTTGGGTTCTCTATAAAAGCGTGTTATTTAGTTTTTGATTATAAATTATTATTTATTTTAAATTTTTTAGCTTAAGAAACTTAACTAATGTATCGTACTTCATTAATGTACATACAGGCAAATACTCGTACAACAGTTTCCAATTTGCTAAGTGAAAAAATGAAGGCGCTCAAACGAATTTGTTGCTTTGACGAAAGTAAATAACGGGTTTGTACTGTTTAAAATCATTGATCATCGACCTTTGATAAGTACGCCAAATTTCGAGTTAATCTGACGTTTTGAAGAGGGACAAAATCCTCTTCAATGATTCCTTATACACTAACATATTAGATAATAATATATGTATATACGTATAAAGTTAATAAAAGCGTATTAAAAATTACCGTCTCGTGACGCAAACAGTCAGAGCTCTAAACAGCAGTCAACTCAGTATTTTCATTTATTTATTGCGTAAACGGGTCATAATATGGTTATTGAAGAACATAGATTTCACAACCTCGACATATGTGGTCTAATTCTCCATTGTAGCATAACATAACGGCTATCTTATCGGGTATTCGCGATGCAGTTGCTCTTGAGTTGTTAGGTCTCCTTTGGAGGCGCTCGGGCAGCTGTTAGCAAATTCCACACTTCCTGACTGAGCTATTGTTCGCCCACCTGCCCTGGTGAATCTGGAAAGGCCTCGCGGCCACCAGTAATCTTAAAAAAAATATTAAAAAAAGGCTGTCTTACCATTCAAACCCGAACGCATAACTGCTTTGCAGCTGAAATATGCAAAGTACATAGGTGCCGATTTAAAGTACGCTCTACTACAAGGAAATGTCAATAGGCTATCGTAGTACGCTGGTATAATACTTATATGATGATTATCCGGTTATTCTCCGAGTCGACTTTCACGACACCTACAGAAAAATATTGGGTGGTGTAAATCTAGAAAGAAACCGCACACGAGATAGACAATGTAGGATTGAAGATACGATGGAATACCAAGGTACGAGAGTTGGTACGAATCATCTCAGTAAGACGCGATTCTGATCCGGAGCTAGCCACTCAGGCTGAGCTAACGTGAGCTGTCTCTACACATTCGGTGCAGCCAGAATAGCACCTCAGGACTACAGACAGTAGATAGAAAAAAAGGTAACCGTGTCTTTTGAAAAATAGTCGGTTCATCTGTGTGTCATTTATCTTTTATCTCCATATACTTAGCCTGGCCATAAATACTGTTACAATTAAAAATAAACAAAATATTACATTTGAATTTGGAATCTGTCATTTTTATATGATTGCTCATTGAGTTTTCTCATTTTGGCGCCAATACATTGTACAATATTTTGCGGTATTAAAATGGAATGGGGTGATAAAGAGAACCGAATCGCTGTGATTGCATTACACAAAGTAGGTATGGAGCCCAATGCAATTTTTAAAACTCTCCATACGCTTGGTATTAGTAAAATGTTTGTGTACCGGGCTTTTAATAGGTGCAATGAGACCTCCTCTGTTTGTGACAGAAAAAGATCTGGCCGTCCACGTAGTGTTCGTACGAAAAAGATGGTCAAATCAGTAAGGGAAAGAATTCGAAGAAATCCTGTCCGAAAGCAAAAGATTTTATCTCGGGAGATGAAGATAGCACCTAGAACCATCGCGTATTTTAAAAGATGACTTAGGACTTGCAGCCTATAAGAGACGTACTGGTCATTTCTTAACTGATAATTTAAAAGAGAATAGGGTGGTAAAATCGAAACAACTACTGAAGCGGTACGCAAAGGGAGGTCATAGAAAAATTTTGTTTACGGATGAGATTTTTTTTACAATTGAGCAACATTTTAACAAACAAAATGACCGTATTTATGCTCAAAGCTCTAAGGAAGCTTTCCAATTAGTCGACAGAGTACAACGTGGGCACTATCCGACTTCAGTAATGGTTTGGTGGGGTATTAGCTATGAAGGAGTGATTGAGCCATACTTTTGTGAAAAAGGTATCAAAACATCGGCACAAGTGTATCAAGATACCATTCTTGAGAAGGTAGTGAAGCCCCTTAACAACACCATGTTCAATAATCAAGAATGGTCCTTTCAGCAAGACTCGGCGCCAAGTCATAAAGCTCGGTCTACGCAGTCTTGGTTGGAAACGAATGTTTCGGACTTCATCAGAGCTGAAGACTGGCCGTCGTCTAGTCCCGATCTTAATACGCTGGATTATGATTTATGGTCAGTTTTAGAGAGTACGGCTTGCTCTAAAAGCCATGATAATTTGGGTCCCTAAAACAATCCGTACGATTGGCAGTGAAAAATTTTCCCATGGAAAGAGTGCGTGCTTCTATTGATAACTGGCCTCAACGTTTAAAGGACTGTATTGCAGCCAATGGAGACCACTTCGAATAAGCTTTTTATTTAAATTGTTTTATATTTATGTATTAAACTAACACACTGTAAAAGTAATAAATGTTATTTGCCATAGATTTTTTTTTTGTTTTCCTTTGTAACCGTATTTATGTCCAGACTAGGTATAAAAATGAATTGCTGTTCGTTAGTCTCGCTAAAACTCCAGAACGGCTGAACCGATTTGGCTAATTTTGGTCTTGAATTATTTGTGGAAGTCCAGAGAAGGTTTAAAAGGTAGATAAATATGAAAATGCTCGGAATTAAATAAAAATAACAATTTTGTTTTTCCTTTGATGTGTCCCCCGTCGGACGGATTCCTTTTGTTTGTTTTAAGCTTATTTTATATAAAGGTTTAGGCACTACAAAGTCTGCCGGGTCAGCTAGTCATCCATAAATAGAAGAATTATCTTTCAATTAGTATGATTACGTGAAAGTAATTGGATAATAACCCTACTTGTTATCTACCCCACAAGAAGATCAACCTGCGATAAGCGAAATTACGACTACTTAATTTTTATTACGTTGATTATGAAGCATTCTCTATGGAGAGGGATTTTTCGCACTATTTTACCGTAGGCTGATTGCAATTTTCCTTTTCTAAACTTTACTGAATGATCAGCTTACTTTCATAGCCTTGAGATAAATGATATAACGTTTAGTATTCAAATTATCTAGAATTAGACTTTTAAATATCAGCTTCATGTCACAACGAAAACTGTAAGTGTATGTGAAGCATCGAATGAAGAGACCTAAGCATAAAAGGGTACAAGATTGAACCGATTATCATTCTTTTATCAATGAGCTTTATTATGGGCTGTTATTTTTATATCGCCGTGGTATAGTAGTGATATTGTAGTTCCCTAATGCAAAGTAGAGGCTTACCTACATACATACATATGTTACGCAGTCCATGGACCGCTCGTTGAACAAATTTATCCATCCTCAAAGAGCTCCACATAACAACTAGGCTGTCTACAATCTGTTGTCTACTAATATGGACACATTGCTCCCAGAAATCCTGAGAACCCCGAAAAGCTGATGATAGTAGGTCATATTGACGGGAAAAGACTACGTAGTCGATCACCTGCCCGTTGGTAAATATTGATAAGATCACTTACCAGCATGCCTATGCCTAAAGCACTCAGGACTGCTGAACACGTGGAAAGGAATTGTGTAACGGATTATGGGAAACAGTCATCAAATTAGACATGAAGACATTTAGAAGTCGTCGTGGTCTAAATTGCGGTGCATTCGTGTTGCACCGGACGCATGCGCATTTACGTTGTAGATGTCTATGGGCTCCAGTAACCACTTAACACCAGGTGGGCCGTGAGCTCGTCCACCCATCAAAGCAATAAAAAAAAGACTTTCAGAAATGAAGATGCCGACTCAGAAGAATATGAACGCAAAATCAAGACTCTGCAGGTTTTTTACTTGAAAACAAACGGCTGAATCATAATCCGGATGATGTTATTCACAACTTGTATATTTCTGAGATACGCTTCAGAATTTCAATGTTCGTCCTCAAATTGTTACGACGAATTCGAAGCGGCTTATTTTCTGCAGCATTTCGATCTCGAGATTACAAGGCAAATCACGTCTTGAAAGAAGTGGATACGACAACTCTTTCCGTTCCGTCATGGCATGGACTTACCACTCTCTCCGTCCTAGACTTAGCGCCTGGCATGGACTTAGTGTTCTTGGATAGTCAAGAAATAACTTTATTAATACATGCTGCAAGGATAAACGATTACTGGACTGTATTATCCAGATTCAATCTACAGAGTCTGCAAAAACTTCGAGAAAACTATGGTTGTGCCTGTGGCTTTATCACGATTACGCTGTAACTCTTCAATCTGAAGTTTAGCTGAAAAGTCAAAATCCTTGATAGCGTATCTTGTCCTTAAAACTACTTCTATAGTCATTGTAAATTATTCCTAAAATCAGATTAGCAAAATCTGATAATGTAGACACAGATACGGTAGCGGAGATGAGTTTCCTGACAGAAAGTATTTAATTGGATTATTGAAAATAACCGTACTCCTTTAACAAATAACTCATTCACGTAAGATATTTGCGAAGAGGTTTTTAGTGAAAAGGCCACCCATTCCTAGACCAACTTATATTGTTTTTATTTATTTGAGGTAGCGTTGCCTGCCAGGTTCAATTGTAATCCTAACCATGCATGCAAAAAACAAAAATTGGCAAAATCAGTCAAATTACTTAGAATGAGTTCAGGGACAAATACCAATGCACGTACCAATCAATTACATTTAAAGATATATTGCGTTAGAATAAGATGATGTACAAAATTAATACGTAAAAAATAGTTATTCCAAGAAGTTTTTAATTAAATTCACCAATATAAGTCTTCAATATTGTCACGTTTTGTGAAACACGTTTTATCTTTACCCAAACCATTTATTGCCCTCATTGCAATTATACCCCAGCAGCGGACAATAATCCTTTTTAGCCGTGCGGAGATTACATCACACAAAAGAGCTTATCGATGCGTATTTTAGTGTCTTTGTATGATAATACATTCCTATAAAATGGGGATACCTAGCCGGAATGATTCACTTTGTTCTACTAAACAAACAGGTATGGAAAATAATTTTATAAATTTGTGAAATTGTTTTAAATGTTTTTTTTTTTAATATTATTTTTGAGAACTGATTTATTGAGTGGTAACATTCTCACTTAAACAATTTATTTATTTATTATTGTTGCTATGGGTTCCAAATGGTAAGTACTGTTCAACCTCTGTTGTACTCTTGAGGACAATCAGGATTGCGGTACCATATGTGCGGGCGTGGATAAAATGATTACAAGTGCCTTCGAAATTATTTTTCTTCCGAATATTTTCCTTAAATAGAACGCTTTAATTTTATACGGTAATTTACAGCGAGGGCCGAAAAATGTATGTGAGATTATTCGTTTAATCCCCTACCTATTCTCTGGTAGCCTGAGGAGCTATTCCAGCTACGTTGTCGTGGGTAATCTCATGGGGCTCGACTTGAAAAAAGTGCTAGCACTGGCTCTAGCAAGAATCATGCTTCGCAGAATCTACCACCCGATAGAAATCGCGATCTACTTTGAAGGTTCGACGAGAAACTCAGTGGGTTATTATTAACTACGGGCTAGTTCGCTCGTCGAACTCTTCGCCGAACGTGAATTCTTATTTATTAACAAGTTCATTTTTTATTTTTTAGAAACAAATATGAAATTCCTGATCACCGTAGCCGCTGTGTTCGCCGTAGCTGCCGCCGTGCCGGCCAAACGTGGACACTACGAGAGCCCAGATGTCGGTCCTGCCCTAGTCGAAGCTCCCATCGTCCCATCCCCAGTCCACGTCGGACCCCTCGTTCCTGGTCAACTTACCCCTCTCGTCCACATTCTTATTAACATCAACGATGCTGCCAGCGCTACCCCCGTTGAAAGCGTCGAACCTGAACAATCAAATGTTGAAGAAAAGCCTGCTGTTTCTCCCGTGATCATTGCTGATCCTGCCATCATAGTACCTAGCCCGGTAATTGTTGCCGAGGGACCTAGTGTAGCCCCTGTGATCGTGGCTGACCCCGCCATTGTGGCCCCTAGCCCAGTGCACGTTGGTGACGTGTCCCTGGTGTCCCCCGTGGTCGTGGCTGACCCTGCCATTGTGGCCCCTAGCCCAGTGCTCGTCGGTGACGTGTCCATCGTGTCCCCCGTGGTCGTGGCTGACCCCGCCATTGTGGCCCCTAGCCCAGTGCTCGTCGGTGACGTGTCCATCGTGTCCCCCGTGGTCGTGGCTGACCCCGCCGTTGTTGCCCCTAAGCCTGTCATCATCAGTCCCGTCGAGCCAGTCGGAGTGGAACCAGTTATCGTTGCTAATCATTTCTAAAATATAAAAAAATAACCAAATGACATCTTCTACATGTGGATTTTACATGGAAATATAATTTACAAGATTTACAAGTGTCATTAATAATTGTTATTAATCATTAAATGTGTTAAATAAATATCAATATATTTATGAGTATCGTTTACTAATTAATCCTTCTTTTCAAAAACAAAACTTTAGCGCCATACGGATTTACACCATTAAAGTATGTGTGTATGTATAGTGTGTAAAAGTAGAAAATCAAGAGAAACGTCTTTATTTCTTGGAAAAACAAGCAATACAAAGAAACTTTGTATTGTTCGGAATAAACGAAAAAGAGACATCATACTCAAACTTGGAAAATATTTTAGTTAAATTTACGAAAAAATACTTTGAGTTAAATATAGAACGAAGAGACATCTATATCTATACTAATATTATAAAGAGGAAAGATTTGTTTGTTTGTTTGTTTCGAATAGGCTCCGAAACTACTGGACCGATTTGAAAAATTATTTTTCCATTAGAAGCCGACATTGTCCCTGATGAACATAGGCCACTTATATAATTTTTTTTTTTTTTTTTTTGGTTTCATGTGTGTTTTAATGTTTCCGAAACGAAGCAAGGGCGGGTCGCTAGTACAAGAAATAAAGAGAATTGAAAAAAAAGGAGAAAGACCAATTCTTGTCACTTTTTTAATTTAGGATTGAAAAACGAAATATGTAAACAAAAAAATGCACTAAAAGACATAACATACTACACAAAGGAAGATTAACCACGGGACATATTAAATAAAAGAAAATAATTACAAAAGCAACTAAAGAATGAAAGAGAAAAAGGAAACACTGTCATAATAAAATACGATAAACTTATAATAAATACTACATAGATAAAGACAAGAATATAACAAATAAGAGAAATCTCTCAATGTCTCCCGAAAATATCCATAATCTAGTAAATAAACCACAAACGAATAAACAAGGACAGTCTGACTCAAAAATCAAGGTCACAAGGTCAAATAGTGCCACGGAAAAGTTATAGAACCAAGCATGCGTCGTGGCCTAACGGATAAGACGTCCGGTGCATTCGTGTTGAGCGATGCCACAAATAAACAAACTTCAATAAAAAAGACAAAAAATCTTCCAACCCGGCTGGTCACCGTGGAAGATTACGTAGAAAACCCTCCAAAGTTACAAATCTCAAACTTTAAAATCCTCGAAAAATCTCACAAAGCATAATCGCTAATTAAAAATTATAACTTACAATGTTAGAACCCTGTCTCTCATCATACAACCGACTACGAGTATTAGATCTAGAAGAATGTTTCAATAAAATTAACTATGATATCATGGAACTTTCGGAAGTTAGACGACAGGGTAACAAAATAGAAGAACACAATACTTTTATGTTTTGTTACATTGGAAACTCACCCGGAATATCTAGGGTCTAGATTCTTAAAACACGTCTTTGGAGGTGGCCTTTACCCAAACCGGGATTTCTTGTTAAGTTATAATTATTTTAATACACGCTGAACGTGAACTGAATTCAGTTTAGTTCAACCCATTGAAGACACAGGTTTGCGCGTTCACTGCAAAGAAGGACTCTTTTGTCATGGCGCCGGTATTTCAAGGAGCATCTCTGCAGCTTTCCGCGAGTATCGGGATTCTGGGGATCGATATTTCCAGCGGTGTCCAATTTCGGAGTCATTTGGAAGGTAAAGCCAAATTGGCCTCTAAAATGTTGGGAGTCCTCAACAGAGCGAAGCGGTATTTCACGCCTGGGCAGAGACTTGCGCTTTATAAACCGCAGGTCCGGCCTCGCGTGGAGTACTGCTCTCACCTCTGGGCCGGGGCTCCCAAATACTAGCTACTTCTGTTTGACTCCATACAGAAATGGGCTGTTCGGATGGTCGATAGTCCCGCTCTCGCGGATCGCTTGAAACCTCTGGGTCTCTGGAGGGACTTCGGTTCTCTCTGTGTTTTATACCGTATGGTCCATGGGGAATGCTCTGAGGAATTATTCGAGATGATCCCCTCATCTCCTTTTTATCATCGCACCTCCCGTCATCGGAGCAGAGTTCATCCATATTATCTGGAACCACTGCGTTCATCGACAGTGCGTTTAAAAAGATCTTTTTTGCCACGTACCATCCGGCTTTGGAATGAACTCCCCTCCACAGTGTTTTCCGAGCGCTATGACATGTCCTTCTTCAAACGAGGCTTGCGGAGAGTACTTAATGGTACGAGGGCGGCACTGAAAATTTCGGGAATTAACGAAGTGACACAACATTTCTATTTAAAAATGTATTTATTGCTTTTCGAAGTATTCTCCGCGAAATTTGACACATTTTTCCATACGATGGAACCAATCATTGAAGCAACCATTCCATTCGGAAGTTGGGGTCTCCAAAATGGCCGTTTTGTAGGCGTCCACAGCTTCTTCAGGTGATGAAAATCTCTGTCCACGCAATTTATTCTTTATTTTAGGGAAAGTGTAGAAATCATTAGGGCTTAGGTCGGGGCTGTACGGCGGATGGTCTAATAATTCTATGTTTTCTTGCTCTAAAAACTCTTTTGTTCTGTGCGCGGTGTGAGAACTCGCATTGTCGTGATGGAGGATGATGCGGCGGTTGCAGTTCTCTTTACGGAGTTCAGAAACGACCTGTGGCAAA